CCACCTATGAGATTTTTCCGACAACCATATCAACGAACTCATCGACTGCCACTCTCAAAACTTACACAGTGCACGTCTCTCGCTTGAAGGGCTACAATGGTAGCACGCCTTTTTAGTCTTGACTGCCACCGATATGATGCTTCACAGACCGGGGACGATGTCACGGGGGTGGATGTACCTTTCCAGCAGAACCACTAAAATGGCTTTTAAATAAAGAACATGACAACGTTGTCGTTGTGGGGCTCATTTCGGATCCGATCCCAATAAGGACATTTCTTACGCTAATTCCTCCACAGCTGAAGCTGTTAAAAGTATTATGCGTACCTGGACCTTGCGGGTTAGTGTTAAATAAAATGGTGGACTCGTTAGCTCAAATGGCGATAAATGGCCCTATATTTTTGTGTGCTTCTGGTGCTATTGAGTGTAAAGTCGGTAAGATATCGAAAATGTTCACTCAGGGCTGATGCCATAGAATTAGTAACACCATGCACTGAATTTAGACATTTGAAATATTGATGGAAATCCGACTGGGGTCATACTAAACAACTGGAAATCATGCTAACAAGATTACGATGTCGTGGGCCCCGTTAAATATATATTTACACAGGACTGGTTTGGGAATATCTTCTTGTACGGATATGGAATCAAGAGAGTAATATTTTTTGTCATGTCGCCGTTACAGAAGAAGAAATGAGCGTCTCTTTGTCATCCCATTTGCTAACGTTGGAGTACCCTTCACCATTGAAAATGTGCTCTCTTCTGGTGCTTTGGTTCTGGGCTATAGCCACAGAAATGCCTTTGATGTCACTTGTAGTTATCTTCATGAAACAAAACGATTACGCCCCTGACTTACTATTTCTATATTTGTTAATATAGTATTATTAGGAAAATTGTAAACATCAATTTGAAACGTGTTCAAATTTACAGAAATTTTATTTCAAGATACATAATATTCTGGCTGGTCAAAATGGCAAAAAAGTATTGTACTCCTAATGTATTTACGTGGGCTTTATCCTCCTTCTGTTACGATAACGCATCATACCAAAGGTCTTAAATTTCATATCCTCAATTCTTGGCCAATCTTCCTGAGTGGGCAAGAGCCATAGTGGAGGCATCATAATCATTATCATTTCGGATTGCCCCGTTGACTGGCATTTTGTGCGCACCTGTGCACTTCGATCCCGCTCTCGTACCGACTCTTATTCCCTGAATAATTACTGTCAATTATTTGTATCTACAGCAATTCTAGGTCAGCCGTTCGAGCATTTGCCATAAGAGTAATTTGTAGACAGGCTCTGGCAATTCTCGAGGGAAAATTAATAAAGCCAGGCACGATTATTTGGTTTCCTGCTCACATGAGAGAAATCAACGGTGCCCCCGCGTACCCCAGCGAATCTGTCCATAATGCGTTGCGAGAACTTGTCAACCATGCTGTCACAAGGCAAATTGATACTGAGGTTTCAGAATGCAAGGACCACGATCTCTCGTGAAACAAGCTAATGAAACATTTTCATCTGGGATTCAGGGTATTCCCCCCTCCACACAGTAAAGTGAGCAAAGCTCAGGTCACAAAGCAGGGGCTAATAATGAAAAGAACTTACCCGAACGTGCTTTTAAAATAAATAATTCATCCTGGGTTTCTCTGTTCGTACAATATGGAATAAATGTTATTATACCATAGATGTCGCTTATATGCTCTAGCGTTGTTCTGCGTAACGCAGCGACAAATCAAATGCTGAAGCACGATTGAACGCAGCTTCACGCAGTCCTACATTAGTGGAACCATTATGGGCAGCCTAAAGGGCCCGTGAAGCGGCTAAAGAGCTACGTCTTTCGGTCCCAACATCAGAGTGGCCCTCTTTGGGCTAGGACACTAGCCAACGTACTGAACAATAATAAAGTTCCTTCATCCATCCATCCGCCCATCTATTCACCCAATCGTCCACCCATCCGTCCATCCATCCGTCCACCCATCCGTCCGTCCGCCCGCCCATCCATCCATCCATCCATCCATCCATCCATCCATCCATCCATCCATCCATCCATCCATCCATCATCCATCCATCCATCCATCCATCCATCCATCCATCCATCCATCCGTTCGTCTGTCCATCCATCCATCCATCCATCCATCCATCCATCCATCCATCCATCCATATCTATCTATCTATCTATCTATCTATCTATCTATCTATCTATCTATCTATCTATCTATCTATCTATCTATCTATCTATCTATCTATCTATCTATCTATCTATCTATCTATCTATCTATCTATCTATCTATCTAGTCTGTCTGTCTGTCTGTCTGTCTGTCTGTCTGTCTGTCTGTCTGTCTGTCTGTGACACATATCTGCATAACAGTGGCACATATCCACCCGCGGGTATTTGCCACATTCTTGGTGAAATGAACTGGATAAGCTAGGTGACAGGATTGCGACATTTTTCATGTTATGACCAGCTACTCATATTTGTCAAATCATCATACCCTAATACTAAATTTGGTCTACTCAAAGTTAAGGGGGTTTTAAGGAGAGCACCCAGACGTAGGCAGCTTGCTAGCTAGTTAGATAGATAAATAGATAGATAGATGAATAGATAGATAGGTAGACAGATAGATAGACAGACGGATAGATAGATAGATAGATAGATAGATAGATAGATAGATAGATAGATGCTAAAATTTCCTGCAGTACGCAAAGAAATGCTTCACATTTAAAATAGCCAGACACATGCCACAGAGTGAAAAGGTAGACTGTTCCTGGCGCCTTCTACACGCACCTGGGAGTGGTAATCTCAGCTGCCCAACTTTGCGGTAAAATTGCTGCCCACAGGTCCTTCAAAAGAAAGGTTTCCCTATTTCAGCAAAAAAAAAAAGAGTTCAAATTTACCAAAAAGAAATACCTCAGTTTTTATACCTGATATAACGTTGAATATGGCAGTGGCCAAAACACTCCTTGCCACCGGTATTCAATGAGAACTGAGACAAAGCACTAATAATTTTGATCAATGCAATCTATTGATCCCCCAAAAAAGGTTCCCCCTTTCTGCAAAAAAAAAACGGTTTTCATTTACCGAGAATAAATACCTTAGTCTTGAAAACTGATGTAACCTGGTATATGCTAGTAACCACATAAGTCAATTGTCACCCGCATTTAATCAAAACTGAGACCAAACACTACACATTTTCAACAGAACGATTAAAACACAGCAAAACACTGCATGAAACAGATGGAGTGTCACAGCATGGACGTCGCCGTTTGCACTCGCCCGTCTGTCATTATGATGGATAGTTTATAGCTGAAGCAGAATTTGCAGCACGTCTATGCTTACTTTCGCCTCAGGTTCATAAGGAACGCTCTTATAGCTACTTCAGATCTCAGAACGCGAAGTACCTTTACCGGAGTGCAGCGCAGCTACAACAAAGGTTGCGAAGATGAACGTATTTCTGGTTAGTTCGTTCGACGCCCTCACTTTTAGTGCGTCTGCGTGGGCGACGGTAAAGAAACCTTCCTGTCGCGTATTGTAGGCCAGCCTGCTAAAAAAAGTAGAGAAAGAATAACTAAATTTTGACAATGATGGCAATCCTAGCTAACGAAGAAGTCTTAGTGAGTTCTGAAATCACCTCGAGCTTCTGTTGTAGTTTCCAGCACCTTGAACTTGTTCACATTGAGATCAATTAGAGCTACACGACTATGTAGCGCGAGGCCAAATGAATAGTGTGGCAGAGTCCCAGAAATTCAGCGATGCCTTCTGCGGTCGTGCTGCAACAGGTTTAGCCAGCGACTTTACACTTCAAACATTCCTATGCCGTACAGTTCTATCTTTCTCAAAAGTGCAAACGCCTATGCTAAGACAAGCACAAACAGCATTCCTTCTTTAGACGACTTCATTACGTTCTGACTAGAAAGTTAGTGTCTCTGCCGACCGCGCTACACAATTGCTGTTCGGTTCTCTTTTAAAAGGTTACTGTTTCCAGGTAGGTTGCAGGATTAATGTATGAAGCGCCTTAGCCCAGAGGATAAATATGTTCACCAAGCTTCCGAAACACAGCCGCGATATAGAAATGCTGACAATCAATCGCCAGTACTACCTCCCTTTTTAGGTGAGTGCCATACCCCCCCCCCTCCACCCACAAACACACGCACGCATGCACAAAGCTTCTAAGGCGCCTCCATGGCACACATCTGTTCAACGAATGGTCCTGTGGTCTACATCTTTATAGGTTATTTCCATTTGCAGACATCGAAGTCTTGACGGTCTTGCTTAGCTGTTATGCATCCAACACTTCATCTTAGGTGTAAAAAGTGAACATGCTGGCAGACTCTGTTGCTACTAGAGTTGCATAAGGCCCTGTTGATATTGATGTGGTGAGAGAGTTAGTCGCATATGTGTTACGATAAGCTGAATTCAGCGTTGCTAATGAACCTGTATGAATGTGTTTCCATTTTATGTTGCTATTCATCGGCCACGTTTAGTGTTAGTCTTTCAATATCTGAATGGACAAAACTAATCTGGAATGAAGTATTTTCCTTGTGCTTGAAAGCTGTAAAGCAGCGTATATGTTGCCTCCGTTTGGGTAACGTCAAGGCTTCCAGTTGGGTAATGCAAGGCTTCTAGTTGATAAAAAACATATGGTTGCTCTGACGCTCACTGAGAAGTGAAAACCAATTCATAATGATACTGATCCTAAGCAAGCCTGAAGTTATAACTGTCTTCGCTCTTCTTTACACAATAATACTACCTCTCTGTGAAACTTCTCATGCATACCTGATGATTAGCTTGAATAACGCATTTACATAGATGTGATGGTGAAAATGGAATGATTTATTTCTGTGCGCAGTGCTTTTTGTTTTGCAATTTGTCTCTCAGCCTAAAGAAACACATTTAGTGCATAGCGATCAATTTAACGAGAAACATAATTGGCCTTTTCGGATATCACTGTATGCTTGATTATGGAGCGCCGATTTGGCTATATAAAAAGTCGTCAGCGTAATATTATTTCACTGCAAAAGTTGGTGGGTGCACTAGGAAGACCATCTGCGACTCATTTCCGTATGTAGTTTATTTTATATAGTTACTGCGAATTTTTAACATTTTAAACACAAGCGTTATGCATAAAACTGGTAGCGTCGTAAAGGTGCGATGCTTACAAGATGTTTATAGACGTAGCCTTGCCTTGGATAAAATTGTCACTCTACTCTAAGATTACCGTTCAGAAGCAGCTGTATGAAATGCAATTACGTACTTTGTTCACAAGTACCACTATTGGGTAAAATTCCGGCAGACAGGTTACGCTGTGCCAACGATATTCATGTGAAACAGTGAGCAAGGAGAAGTCATGCGACTGCGTTGTCATCGCAGCAAGCTTGCCTGCCACCAGAAACTAAGCTTTATAGGAAATAGCACCTCCGTGTGTTGTTTAACAATATGTTTTATAAAGTGATCCACCATTTACCCTTGAGAAATATATGATGGTATGGTAAGCTCAATAGTGTGGGTCTCATTCTAACCACCATGGTCGTTTCCAAAAACATGCCTGCTTACATTAGGAAAATAATAAAAAAGACCAGGTAATCTAATGAGTACCACCACTACGACATGCTTTACAATGGTTGTGTCATGTCTGCTTGTAAAAAACAATGTTTATTTTTATACAAGATTTGTAATGCCGGTTATTACAGATCTCGAGTTCCTCGTGTGGTACATATTCCCATATCACCGCACCTGCTTTGCGCATATCCATTGCACGTTACTGAGTAAATTGCTTTCATGAAACATGAGCCATGGTATTCATGTTGTGTCCGCGGAGCATTTTCGCCTTACACTGGTGATCAGCAGGGTCGATTTCGGTACATACCGAGTCAACGAGACGGCCACAGGAGCACAGAAGCGTAGTTTATTTCAATTTATTTGTTACCAGAAAACAATCCTTCACGAGCTACAGCGCCGCGCACAATACACATTTCCGTCTTCTTTTAACCTCGAAGTTCACGTTGCACACAAAAAAATGTATTTCACTAGTCCCCCTTCCCCTGCTTTCAGAACGTTATGCGCAGATACGCTTCACGTAGACACAACACAACGGCACACAAAAAATATTTTATACATAACCACCACGCACATGCATAGTACTTTCCGGACGTCTGGCACAGCCCAAGTAGGGTTCGTGGACTCACGCACCAGCAGACCATGGTCGCTCGCCATGAGTCACTTACACCCTACCGGCTCTGACACAAAAACACCTGCACACACGCAGAATGCACAACACACGATGCACGCGGTGGTTTCCTCCTGGTCTTCGCTTGGTTGTGGTAGGCACCAGCTTGTCGTCGTCAGTCTTTTTTTTCTCGCTTGAATACTTTGGCCCGGAAAGGTTCGTCAACAAACCTGGGGACGTAGCGGTTCAAGTGCCGACTACTGATTAGTTTGTACCCTGGGCTTGTCAGCGTAAGGAGGCAATGGCGCCTCATCTTCTGTTCTTTGGGTAGAGGTCCAGGCAGGTAGGGGCTATTCCGGTCGGGCCTTAGGTTAGGCGTGGGTGATAGCCGTCGAGTTTCACATGGGATTGGCTTTTCTTGACGTCTTTTTCACACTCGTCGTCTCATTAATACCACTTTCCGGAGCTGGGTTCCTCTCCCTTGATTCTGGTTCATATGCCCCTGATCGGTTCATTATGGATACCCGGTGTCGTCCACCAGGGCGTGTCGTAGACGACGTGGGCGTGTCTTGCTCAACGTCACTGCAGCTGCTGGACTATCGGCCTTGCTTTGAATTGCTACCGAAGTGCTACCGAATTGCTTCCGAAAACATGATGCCATACCTTCAATCCAATAAGGTACTTTTTAAAACCAACAAGGCTTTCAGAAACATAAATCTAGTGTATCTCAACTGTTAGTTTCTACTGCATAAGCTAGTCACTGATTTACATAACTCTTTTTATAAATCATTTTTAATCAATGCGGTTTTAATTGATTTTTTGAAAGCGTTTTGATTGCGTTCCTCGTCAACGTCTTCTATCAAAACTGCGTAGTATACGGCTAGATAAAAACAATTCAGTGGATTGAAGGCTTTCTGACAAACAAGTTTCAGTGTGTTAAAATCGACTCCTACATGTCTAAACAGACGCAGATCAAGTCGGGAGTTCCACAAGGGTCAGTTTTAGGGTCGCTGTTATTTGTAATCTATATCAGCGATATATCAATAATGTGCAGTATGACGCTTTGCTCATGACTGCACAATATATAAAAAATTAGGCCACCAGAACGACATTTTACCTGTGAAATCTGACCTAACGACACTATCCCAATGGTGCTGCAAATGACAAATGAAATAACATTAAGAATGAAACATGCTATATTCGGTTGAGATGCCAATATATTGCCGACTGTATACCTCACCAACATTGCTCCCGTTGAAACAGTATCGTCTATTAAATACTCTGCATTCCAAACTTAAGTGGAACAAGCATGTAGACTTGATTACCAGCAAAGCAGTTCGTAAGCGTTGCCTTTTAAAACGCCGCCTACTCCTGGCTACTTCAGAAACTAAACTATCCATAGAGCATGCTTCTAACATAAGGCACCCGCACGAAGCATATCTTTATGACATGCTTGAATCAATTCAAAATAAAGCCGCTAGGTTCTTTGCTTCCCCATATTCAGGTTTTCACTGTGTATTATTAATAAAAAGAACTCCTGGTACATTACCACTTATTACACACGAAAAATATTCCAGATTTTCACTTTTTCATGGCATCTACACTAGCAACAGTCCTTTCGCACAGAAATTGATCTAGCCGCAAACATTTTGGCCCGATGTGATCACGATCACAAGGTACGTCCACAAATTGCTCACACAGTAAATTATTTACGCTCTCCTTTGGTTTTGCCAGTAAACGAGTGGGATGCCCTTTTACGCAACACTGCAAGTAATAAAAAATTCACTGCTTTCCAGTCAGCTCTACTATCTCACCTAAGTGAGCTGCCTTTCCATACTAGCTGAATTATCGGATTCCAAGTTTGCATTTATTCTATGTATATTTTTTCTAGATTGTACTCCGTTATATAATCATTGCAAGTAATCAAAAATTCACTGCTTTCCAGTCAGCTCTACTATCTCACCTAAGTGAGCTCTCTTTCCATACTAGCTAATTATCGGATTCCAAGTTTTCATTTAATCTATGCATATGTTTTCTAGATTGTACTCCGTCATATAATCATTGATCACTTATTTTACTCTACTGAACCTTGTATTACTGAACTCTGTTTGACTTTTATACATTTTGTTTGCATTATGTTTGCTTGTTTCTGCATTTTTTCATGATTGTTTCTTCTTTAATTTGATTTTTTTCATTTGTTGTATTCTTTGCTGTATTCCTTCCCTATGTAATGCCCGTTCTTGTGCATTCAAGGTTCAAATAAATGAAATAAAAAATAAGAAGTCTCCAGCAACGCTGCTCCAGCGCAGTTCTCAACAACTACATCGTGCAGAGAATCCCTCAAGCACAAAGCACGAAACTCTCCTCTTAGGAATGGGGTGTCCAGGGATACCACAGCTTACAGGAGGTAGCTCACCGTGCGATCCAGCAATAAGACCGGTCTATAGTTGCCAGTTAATCTTTCCTTTGGCAGTCACTATTGCCTGTAGTACGATGAGCGTTCGTAGCAAGTATCGCTACAGCATGGTAACCAGCCGCTCGTTTGAAAATTCTTCATCCACTGGCATATTCTGGATTCTTTGCGATGCAATGGCGCTGCTGACTGCGGTATTGCACGACAGCAATTCTCTCTCCATTCTTGAGAGCAATAACTCTTATTCCCTGGAGATTCTTCCGGTGTGCGGTCTACAGCAACCATGCACGACGCTTCACTTTCGCCCTATCCTCGGGTGATGAACTTCTTCCTGTTAGGACGCAGCTTCTCCACTGCTCGACCTTGGTTTCCATATTCCTTTTTAGTGCGCGCCCAACACACGGCTCCCCTGTACCCCTTCTCGTCGTATAGGAAAGTGTGATTGTTCCCCCGATCTCGCGGAGGTGTCTTTTTTAGAGACGAAGCTCCTTATAGCGTGGGTTTGTTCATCCCTTGTATGTATGTATGTATGTATGTATGTATGTATGTATGTATGTATGTATGTATGTATGTATGTATGTGTGTATGTATGTATGTATGTATGTAATTATGTATGTATGTATGTATGTATGTATGTATGTATGTATGTATGTATGTATGTATGTATGTATGTATGTATGTATGTATGTATGTATGTATGTATGTATGTATGTAGCCACCAGGGGCTACAACATACCCACTCTAGAGCGGGTATTGGTCACAAGAATTGTGAGACGGGAGATGGCGGTACTTAGAGTGTTCACTAGATGGACGCACAGACAGAAGCATGGACGGATGGACAAACGGACTAGCAGACAGACGGTCGGATGGATGAATGCACGCACGAACGAGTGGATTAACGCACGACGGATGCACAGACGGATAGATAGACTCACGGATGGACACACGAACAGATGGACGGACACGTGGATTGACGCGCGTATGGTCGCGCGGACGGACGGAAGCAAGAAGGAACACACAGAACCACGGAGGAGCTGACAGACGCTTCACCCCACTCATCATTTTTCACTCAGGGGACATGCTGTGATTTTTTATCTGTTCTCAGACCACATTTTGAATCATCTCCTCCTATGAACGTTCAACAAAGCGTGAGCATCGGCAAAACTTTCGCTGTCTGGGAGAGTTCCTGGATAGTTCGGCAATTTCTTTCTTCAGGAAAATTGCTAATGAGGGGGAGCATGCCTTGAGAAATTGTTCGGCAATGATAAGCTCCCTTAGGCCAATGTAGCTTTTCTCTGTCTCTGCGAGCTACAGCTAATGATCGAAGTACCGCGAGATGATTGACTGATACGTGAGGTTTAACGTCCCAAAATCATCATAAGATTATGAGAGATGTCGTAGTGGAGGGCTCCGGAAATTTTGACCACCTGGAGTTCTTTAACCTGCACCCTAATCTGAGCACACGGGCCTACAACATTTCCG